CGGAACACAGCAGAAACACTTGTTTGATGAACAGCTAGATACTAGTCGTAAAGCAATTGATCTGCTTGTCCACATGGACTTTGGCTTGTAGCTATACACTATATAGTCGGAATATGGACAACTTAAGACAGTACACCAGGACCTATCGTGACAGCGTGCATGAAAGTGAAAGCATTAGAGTGTACATTTTGGGGTAGCCCGGGAAATAACAGTGTAGGGAGTGGTATACATGGACAAGTTATGACAGTATGCCAGGACCGACAGGTCCTGGCACACTGTCATAACGGACGCTCAGTGGTCTATAGAGCAATACGAATCAGAAGTGATAACATGGGGACTTATAGCTCAGTGGTAGAGCAATCGACTGCAGATCGATAGGTCCCGAGTTCAAATCTCGGTGAGTCCTCTGGAAATTCAGTACAACAACTTTTTTTTCCTGCCATTCGACCGCGCGTTTGCACGAGTGGACATGATCGCAGAGGGCAAAGAGTCCCAAGTTCAAATCCCGGCGAGTCCTGTATAGGTCATGTTTTTTTGGCCATTCGCACCGCGTTCTCAGCAGAGGCCTTAGCAGGCCTCTGCTGAGAGCGCGGCAATCCGGTAACACTTCCTGTGAATGGCTTTGGTTGTTGGTCTGCCATTTGCATCTGGCGGGACGGAGGACTTTTGACGCCAGCGGTTTTCCCCTGTTGAGATGGCTACGCGATGGGCTCGCACCTCGTTCTCAGCGGGTTTCTACCGAGTGTGCTCAACTTGAGGTACTACTTGTATCTTGTTCACATATTAATTACAACTGGTGTCGAAGATTTGATCGGACAGAGCATAGCAGGATCATTGTAGTGCCTGCGTCAACCAGGTTTGATGAAATGGCCTACTGGAATAGCTGAATGACCGATCAAATATTCGATACGAGTTGTTATCTTGTTCACGTCGTAATTATATACAGCATTTTACTTGAATTCTCACTTTTCGCCGTCTCGAGGCCAGTTCACAGCACTCCAATGGTGAGATTGTCCTAGATTGTACGACAAAACTCTGCTCGCTTTCAACACTTAAAGCACAGTCCTCTGCTCCAATTTGTGGTATTTTCTTGTCAATATATTCACCAATTCACCAAATGATGCAGTGGATTATCAGCGGTAAGAGCGGTCGCGTGGTGTGTCGATAGATTCACCAATTCACCAAACGATGCAGTGCATTATCAGCGGTAGAGCAATCGAGCGGTGAATCGTCTAGATAAAACAGCATTTTCTCATGGGAGCACATAGTCCAGAGGCACTATCGTTTCCAAAGTGCATATATCCCATGCCTACTTGACCCGCCCCGATAATAGCTACATTCCGGTGCATACCGTCTTGCAATGACCACTGAAAAGTGTGGTTTTCTGAAAAATAAAACTTTGACAGCGGAAACCGGCTTGTTGAGTGCCCCTGTTGTGTCAAAGGCTCGACACTCAACGACGGCATAGAGTTATACACCAAGGGCTTGATCAAGTTAGAGCAGGTGCTATTCCATCCTAATGCAATGCTCACTAGATTGGTTCAGTTCAACTCTTGGCGGGCTCTCTGATTACGCACGGCATCTTTTCCCGGTGATTGAATTTGAGTTCAAATGGCAGGTTCCGCTCTAGGTGCCCAATAGCACAAATGTCTTTTTCTGTTGCCCTCATTGTAGTTACTGGACATTGATATTTGCGCGTCATGAACAATTGCTCTGATCGACCTTTGCGTGATGCCAAAAGCTCGACACAATAAGAGCATTTTCCTTGGATTTGATGCTCGAGTTCAACTCTTGGTGGGTTCTCTGATGATTGATGTGCACCGCTCCCGTTTTTTGCTCTTGTTGTGTCAAGCGACAACAGTTCCTTGTTCTTTCCAGCCGTTTCATAACGCCAATGATTGAATTTGAGTGGCAGATGGCTGGATCCTCTCTGGATGAACAATAGCACAGACAAGTTTTTAAGGACTACCCCAGACCTTCCGGCCAAGATGAATTACTTGCTGCCTTCATCAGGCGAGCGCGACCCAGAGTATCAAAGGACCTCTATTATTGCCTCAAACTTCCGTGGATTAAACATCCACAGTCCCTCTAAAAAGTTATCCGCCAACTTTGCGTATTGTAGGTAATGGACACTGATGTTTAGCGCCTCGTAGACAATTGCGCTGATCGACCGTGGTAAGACTGCCATAGTCCATAATGTATTGGTTATAGGTTGTTGCTGCTCTAAAGAAAAAAGAGCTTTGCCATGCTTTTGGCCCGTATTGTAGGTAATGGACAAGTTGTGCGTCGTAAACAACTGCTCTGAACGACCACGACGTTCAGATGCCGATCTATATTGGCGTTTGCCCGTGTTGTGTCGAGTTCGGTTTGATGTTCGAGTTCCAATTCTTGGTGAGTCCTCTAGCGCTGCGACTTGATTGTAATTTGACCCATATTGCGTGCATGGGTTTGATACTCGGGTTCAACTCTTGATGGGTCCTGTAATCGTTTGAGCACTGATACCTTGCGCCATATCCTGCCAGCGCGTTCACCATAGCTTTGGATGCCAAGTTTGTTTGTCAACGTCTATACCCTATTTTCTTTTGCCCGTGATGTGACGAGGGCATTTCCTTGGGTGTGATGCTTGCAGTTCCTATTCTTGGTGGGTATTCTAGCGTCGCGACTTTTCTTTTCCTTTGCCCATCTAGCGTGCAGGACATTTGGGATTGGCTCAAAGGTTTGGGAGATGGTTCAAAGCGCTGGAACTGGGACTACCCGAGCTCACAAGGGTTTAGATGTTCAAGTGGTGGGTTGTCTGAACGATATAGACGCTTGGCCAGATACAGGCTCTCAATCTGAAGTACAATGACGCCCAGTACAACCACAGGAGAACATTGTAAACGTTGAGGGACAGATTTATGATGGTTTTAACGGAGCTTTAATGGTTGGCCCGACGTTGGGAGATGGAAAAAAGTATCTTACTGAATAAAACTACGTACATGAAGGTTAATCTTTCATAATCAATTCACCCTGTGGCCCTACTGCCGCCAGCCTGTCCCCGCAATTCCTGTAATCAACACGGATGAGGTTTTCATATAAAGTAAAGCCAAACTGTAGCTTACTCCAAAACAATCTGTGAAACGCTTGCCCCACCTCCTCATCTCTTCGTCCTTTTCCTCTTCCCGAGCAGCGTTTCCTTGATTTTTATTCCTTTTCCTGAGTGCGTTTCCTCGAGTCTGAGAACACAGATATCATTCAAAAGATCACATGAGGGGATATCTATACGAAACTTCATGATTGGAACCGCGGACCGTCATGTAGGCAAGGAAACAGCCAATAGGTCGACTAGTTCGCTACCACCCCCCAGCGCTTTGGCATATGCCGCAATCGGGAGAGCACTGGGTCCGACCCATTGGAGCAGTTGTCCCTTACGGGGAGAAACTGAGAATGATCTCACGATCCAACGATCCTGAAAGCATTTTGATAAGCCGCCACGAATAGGAGGTAATGGGAGAAACTGAGAACGATCTCGCGATCCGAAGATCCCAAAAAGCATTGGCAGTAAACCGCGGCTTTAGGAGGCAGTAGGAATTCATCGCTACAGGACCAGCGTGATTGATCGATTCGACTAGATGCCAGACGTAGAAAGTTACATGTCCGTTTAGGTGACATACATACCTTCAAGAACAAGGGTCTCGTCTACAGACTCTTCATACTCAGGTGGTGCTTCCTCGACTTAAAATAGAACAGCTATAAGTGGACAACGTATTTCAATGACCAGCACCCATAATTTGCCTGCGGGTTTCAATGCAGGTCTGGCCATGCTACAGAACGGCAAGGGTCGGGTTGCTACCCAGCACACCTACCCCATAAACCGTTCGACATATATCGCGAATATCAGAGACCTTTCCTATATAGAAAGGAGGCCGGGAAACGCCTCTGTACGGACCATATGTGCGGACCATCATGATATGTTCGGACCAAAGCGCGGAGTTTTCAAAGGGCGGTCATTTGATTTGCGGTGATAGGTTATAGCCCACTTGGGCATAATACTGACGGCAATCGAATTTTCACAACAGCTATCTTGCTACACATCTCCATCTTCTATCGTCCTTTCAGGTTTGATCTCACCAGGTGAGATTGCCGTTTCTATTTGCATATGCACCCGCTTGGGGGTTTATGACCTGCAAGCTGCAAACTTTAACACGCCATTCAAGCGTCGAAGAGAAATCCTGACCTGTGTGTCATTCACTGCCCTCAATTTTGTGGCAGACCCACGAAAGCCCACAAACTATTTTTGAGTTCTTTTGCGTACTTTTCATGAAGCCTAGATGTGCCGAGGGCTATGATCGGATAGTCACTACAACGCCGGGGAGTAGCATATATTGCCCGCAGCACCATTGAGACCACTTCAGGCTCATTTCGAGAGCAAAGTACCTGATTAGGTATAACAACCATCAGTTTGCACCCATCTCAAATGTTGTCTTGGTTAAAAGTACGCCCGGTGAACCCTGTTATAGAACATCCGCTCAAGATCACCTCGCCAACGAAGGAGGAATTTCGATATACAACTCCGGCTCGGGGCGTCCTAATCAAATGATGGGAAGAGGTTATATGTGTCCTACCCGATGAGCGAGGAATGGTACATAGCGTCATGAATGGTAAAAACCTAAAATGTCTACGGCGGAACGGGCTCGGGTCATGCATAACCGGGATCATGCCATGCGGCCTCCACCACGGAAATCGTTGCATGAACAAATTTCTTTGATGTTCCAGTTTTCCGAGTTGCTCACCAGCAGTAGCTTAACTCGATCTGTGCTTACATGGAAAAAAAAAAAAGAAAGGAAATGAAAGTTGGGACAACTAATTAACATATGCACTTAAGGCTTATGCATCACTGCACATTTATACGACACAGCCATGTGCTAATACATGCTAGGCTCATCACCAGCGATTTTCTTTCGGCAGGTAAATACAGCTATTTCAAAGCACCCCCTATCAAGATATGCAACCTTTCCAAATCAGTGACCGCAATCCTTGGTGAAGACAGTCCCAAGAGTGGCGGTCGTTTTCTCCACAAAATTGACAAGATTTCCCATAGGATCACTGACGGTGATTGCTCTGTAACGCTTCGCCTCCCTAACTTTGCCCAATTTTGCAGTCCCTATCGTCGTGAGTTTATGGACTACAGTCTCCCAATCATCGCACTCGATCTGGAGAAAGATGCTGTCGCCCCCCTGCTGTCCAACGACAGCCTTGTCGCGCGCGGTGAAGGCTTCTCTGAAGCGCAGTGAGCACATTGGCGTGAATTCAGTCAGGTTCGTGGGAGCTGCGATGACCAAGCGCTCCCCGTTGACGATCTCATCACATTTGAGCACGAAGCCGAGCTGACCGACGTAGAAAGAAAGCGCCTGAAGACGCCAGAAAAAGGATGATTCACGCGTTACGATTGCAGAGAAATCATCGACGAAAGCAGCGCTACCTGACCAATGTTGTTGCATAAGACGGTTATGACCGAGACGGAATCCGAGCGAATCAACGGCGGCGACATAGTCTCTTCTGACTTTTTCTTTCCACTGGAGTAGAGAATAAATGGCTACAGTCGGCAAAGGTACAGATGGACGAGTCTTCGAAAACGACAGCCCTTTACCAAAAAGTAGGGTTCCGCCAAGAGAGCGTGACTACATATATATGCATTTGCAAGCCCCAATCCCCCTACGAAAAAGTATGGGTTCCGCCAAGAGAGCTTGACTACATATATATGCATTTGCAAGCCCCAATCCCCTTACGAAAAAGTATGGGTTCCGCCAAGAGAGCGTGACTACATATATATGCATTTGCAAAGCCCAACCCCATTTTACTGTGCGGTGTGTTCACCACTCACTTGAAAAGAAAACCGCAATCTGCTTTCCTCTTCCGCCCGTTGTGTTATACTCTTTACCTAAATACCATCTGAATACCATCCGGACACCGTCTAAGCACCCTTCGTCGTTCCCGGCGCTCTTCTTTTCCACATTTCCTCTATCAACTCAAGCTCAATGTCCGAGTCCGAAGGAGCCAGTCATCCACCCTCGCCCGAACCGAGCAATCCCGCACCCGAAGCCTCTCCCGGGCGACGCCGCAGAACCCGAAGAACGCAACTCCAGCAAGGAGCGATGAATGATCTTCCTTACAATCCAGACCAGACCATTGCACCCGTTGCCACCCAGGTGCGAGACTACACCGTTCCCATGACTGGCCAGATCCAAACGGCCGGTGGCCAGATGCGAGAAGTTGTCGTTCCCGCGACAGCCCAGGTCACCCACACGGCCGCTGCGGTGTCCGAAGGCGGCGATCGTCGCGGTCGAGATACTCTCAAGCTCAAGCTGGAGCTAAACCTGGATGTTGATGTCCAGCTCAAAGCCAGAGTTCATGGCGACATTACGCTTTCGCTTCTGTAAGTTCATCATGTAATGTTTTGCGCATTCTAGTTGGCCGAAAAGCTAACGCTATGGTTATCTCCAACCAACAGGGACTGATTTCTTGATTTCTCTGTTAACCGTAGTAGGGAACCGAGATAGTATTTATCCATAAAGTGTAAAACCGATACCGTATAACCTGTTGTCTAAACATTTGCTGAACTACCCTCGACGATTACTGTGTCCTGTAGATTTGCAACAAGATTGGTTTCCGTCGAGTTTAGCGTAGCGTGATCGATGGACAAAAGCTGGCTTGCCCGCGTTGGAGGGAACGTTTCGCCGCCGATCTCTGTAATCCATCTTCGTAGCGAATTCCCGTACACAAGTTGCTTTAGTTCTTAATTGCTGTATCAAAAACGTGTACACTGTGCACAAAAAATAATCGAGTACACCAAGTCCGTCCCCACACTGTCAAAGCAGTTGTCTGTCCAACATGCATTCCAAAACCCGTCGTTTGCCCCTCAATTCTGCCAGGTGATCGTCGTCTTCGTCGTAATAAAGCGCCCAGATTTCGCTGCTCTCCTCAAGTGCTACAAAGCCCTCCCACCCCTCAATGGTCAGGCCCTCCTGGTCATCCGTCCAATCCCACGGCCCAGTGATGTGGGGAAGGCTTTGCGTCTTGTTTCCGTATTTGAGCTGTAGTCGTGCTGTTAGTCCTGGGCAACCAGATAGGGAGATGTAAATTTGAAAGTCCTACCTCCAATGTATTGGCATCGACATAGATCCAATTTAGTTCCGGTGGATTCTTTCGTATCGTACTAACAAGACCAAGCATAGGACTCTGAGACCCTCCTTCCCCTTTTTTGAATGGATATTCCAAATAGAACCCATCGAACGGGTGGCCGTCGGGGAACTGTCTCTTGTCGGGGTCGATGTCGTCCAAATACAGCTTTCCCTTGCGCAGAACGGCGCATTTGCCGTCAACTTGGGTTTTAGATTTGGCCTCGCACCGCGCGACAAGCGTGAACTTGGCCAAACGTGGATCCGATGTACTTGCCGCCTCGCCCTCGTTTTGACCTTGATTTTGACCTTGGGAAGCCGCGCTTTGCGCCGTTCCTACGGTTGAAACCGCCACACCCTCGGCAGAGGTCGGGACCGAAGTTACACTCAGCGGAGTGGCAACGGCCCCGGCCATTATTCCTATGATGCCGAGAACCATTGTTTCTTATCACCAGTTGCAATAATAACAACTAGATACAAGAAGTCCGAAGAAGAAATCCTGAGGAACTGTTCTGTGAGCAAGCCGCAAGAGCAAGCCCCGTCCCGCGTCACTGCCCAAGGATGACCCTTGGCATGCGACCACTTGATTTCTCATTGCGCAACGGAGAATGGGCTTTTTGAGTAAGCCCCCTTCGATAGACGCATGGTTACGGAAGGATATAGTTTAAGCCCCACCTGACTTCGTCATATGAATCGCCCGCCCCCCTCGCCGCCGTTCTTTTAAGGCGTGTTTTGCTCGCTGAACCGCGAGAAAAGTTTCTTCAGTGTGCGGCGTGCATGAGTACAATCCATTTCTCTGTCCAAATAACCTCGCGCACTGGTGATAAAGCCGACATTGTCGCAACGATCGCACAATCGGAAGGTGCAGAATCAGAAGCTGTCAAGCGTGATCCCGAAGTCCAGATGACGTCCCGTACTGATGATACCGAAGCGAGAGCTATTACAAAGGCCGCAGAACGGGAAGGTGCAGAATCAGAAGCTGTCAAGCGTGATCCCGAAGTCCAGATGATGTCCCGTACTGATGATATCGAAGCGAGAGCTATTGCAAAGGCCGCAGAACGGGAAGGTGCAGAATCAGAAGCTGTCAAGCGTGATCCCGAACTCCAGATGACGTCCCGTACTGATGATATCGAAGCGAAAGCTATTGCAAAGGCCGCAGAACGGGAAGGCTCAGGATCCCCAGTCAAAGACGTAGCGGAAGAGGGATCCGACACAACGGAAGTAGAAGGCGTGGAGCCCTTTAACGGAAAGTTCGCAGAACCGACAAGGCACGATGCGGAACAGTCAATGGAAGACGCAAAATCCGATGCAAAAGAATTCAAAAGCGTGCAGCCCTTCAGCGGAAAGACCGGAGAAGCGGACGCTGCAAGGGCCGCAGATGAAAATTTAGCTGAGGGTCTCAAGCACGATACCGACTACTCAAAAGAAGCAACAAAACCCGAAACAAAAGAAGTCGAGAGTGTTAGCGGAAAGGCCACAGAACCGGAAGGACCCCAAGACCAAAATGTAACTGAAGGTCTCAAGCGCGATACCGACTACTCAATGGAAGATGCAAAATCCGAGACCACAGCAGTAGAGGAAGACGTGGAAGCCCCAGCAGCAGGCACAGTCGAAGAAACGAAATTGCCCAGTGGGACAGCGCCAACAGAGGTATACTTGGCACTCGAGTCGCATGCTGTAGCAGTATCATCTCATATGCGATACGCATTGTTAGGGTTCTGTGCCGCCTGCATCGCCCGTAAAGCCCGAAATTGAAGCCGTTACTGAGAAGTCCGGGGACGTCGACAAAACGGTTACAGATTTATCTCAGCAAGCGGAAGAAGCCGAAGGGGCTGTCCCTGTAACCGTTGAGGGCGAAGTCAAGGAGAGTGAGGCTAGCGAGCCGGTTGACCTTTCAGTGCTGGAGGGCAACAAAGTCAACAAAGCCGGGAATATCGTTGATGACAAAGGTACCGTAATTGGGAGAGTCATCAGTGGGAAGTTGTCAGCCCTGATCGGCAGAACCGTCGGCAAAGACGGTAAGATCTGGGACGACAGAGGCACAATCGTTGGTGAAGCGGAGGTACTTCCAGAACCCGAGAAAGTAGAGGAAGCACCGTTTGAGGACTTTCCCGACTCCATAGTGGATGAGTCGGGTGCTATCATCTTTCAGGGCAGGACCATTGGAAAGCTCGTGACGGGAGATGCAAAGAAACTGGCCGGGAAAAACGTCGATGCCGACGGCGATGTCGTCGATAGCAAAGGCAATGTCATTGGCAAAGCTGAGCGAACCGAAGAGCAAGAGCCTGAACCTGAAGAGGAGACAGCGGTCGATCTCTCGTTGCTCGCTGGCAAAAAGGTCAATAAAGCGGGAAATGTCGTCGATGAGAATGGTACAATGTTTGGCCGCGTCGTTGAAGGCGACATCACCAAGCTGGTCGGCAGGAAGGTGGACGCTGAGGGCAAGATCTGGAACGATGCCGGCAGGATCATCGGCCGCGCCGAGCTAGTGCCCCTCGAAGAGCGCGAAAAGCCTGCGGTAGCACCATTCGAGGACTTTCCCAATTCTGTAGTCGGCAAGGACGGCATCGTGAAGTGCGATGGTCAGACTGTTGGCCGTCTCGTCGAAGGTGACGCAAAGAAGCTGGCCGGCAAGAAGGTCGACGAGGAGGGTGATGTCCTCGACCGCAACGGCAATGTGATCGGTAAAGCTGAGCGCTGGGAAGAGGAAGCAATTGAAGAGCAGATGGTCGACCAGTCCGCATTGGCTGGCAAGCGCGTAAACAAATACGGCAATGTTGTCGATTCTGCAGGGGTCATCTATGGCCGTCTGGTGGAAGGCGATCCAACGAAGCTGGCGGGCAAGATGTGCGACAAGGACGGTCGCGTCTGGAACGAAGGCGGCACAGTGGTGGGTCGCGCCGAGGTGATTCCGGAAAGCGAGCGCGAGGGCCAGAAGACCGGCCCCTTTGCAGACTTCTCCGTCGCTACTGTTGACAGAGATGGCAAAGTTGTCGATAGTACCGGCGCTACCATTGGTCGATTGGTCGAGGGAGACGCCAAGAAGCTCTACGGAAAGAAAGTTGACGCCGATGGAGAAATCCTTGATACCAACGGCAATGTCATTGGCAAGGCTGAGCGCTGGGAAGAGGAAGCAATTGAAGAGCAGATGGTCGACCAGTCCGCATTGGCTGGCAAGCGCGTAAACAAATACGGCAATGTTGTCGATTCTGCAGGGGTCATCTATGGCCGTCTGGTGGAAGGCGATCCAACGAAGCTGGCGGGCAAGATGTGCGACAAGGACGGTCGCGTCTGGAACGAAGGCGGTACAGTGGTGGGTCGCGCCGAGGTGATTCCGGAAAGCGAGCGCGAGGGCCAGAAGACCGGCCCCTTTGCAGACTTCTCCGTCGCTACTGTTGACAAAGATGGCAAAGTTGTCGATAGTACCGGCGCTACCATTGGTCGATTGGTCGAGGGAGATGCCAAGAAGCTCTACGGAAAGAAAGTTGACGCCGATGGAGAAATCCTTGATACCAACGGCAATGTCATTGGCAAGGCTGAGCGCTGGGAAGAGGAAGTGCAGGAAAAGGAACCCAGTCCCTTGAAGGGCCACATTGTCAACAGGGATGGCAACGTCTTCGACGATAAAGGCGAGTTGCTCGGCAAGTTGACTGAAGGTGACATTGCGAAATGCGCCGGTAAGATACTCGATGACGACGGTGATGTCCTCGACGGAAAGAACAGAATTGTAGGTCACGTATCACTGCTGTCTGATATTCCCGAGCCGGAGCCGGAGCCGGAGCCGGAGCGCGAGCCGACGCCGGTACCAGAACCGCAGCCTGAGCCGGAGCCGGAGTCGAAGCCAGAGGAACAGCCGGAAACGCCGGAAGAGGCCGAGCGGAGGAGACAGCTAGAGGAGGACAAGAAAATGGCGGCGCGGATGGCAAACTGTATCGAACGGTCGCTGGATCAGATCCGCCCCATAATGAAGATGATCATGACGGTGAGGATTGATAGCTCTGTACATCATGCGGAATAGCAATGTTCCACAAGTGTCAGCGTTAACCTATCACTAGCATATTGAAGCGGCCGAGAACGTGAGCAAGGAAGATCTCGACGAAGAGAAACTTGTACAAACCGTGAAACCGCTCATTGAAGAGGGCAGCCGCATTTTGCAGGAGACGCACGGCGAGATCCGTGCGCTTGATCCCGATGGTCACATTCAAGCGAACGCAAAGCATAAGCCGGAAGGACGTGATGCGACCCCAGAGGAGTATCGGTTGGCAGAGGACCTGAAAGAGGTGCGCTCTCGCCGTGTACTATTTCTGCATCCGCGAAGTTTAACAGAAACGACACTGCAGTTGACCGGCACTGTTGCCGAGACTATCGAGAAGGCAAAGGTGAAGATTGCCGACATGCCACACGCCAAGAAGGAGCTCAGTCCGCTCTGGGGCCTATTGACAGGTGAGGACATCCCTTTATTTCTATTTTGCACACGCTGAACGAACGCTAACAATGCAAAGCAGAACCTCTTTTCCAGATTTTGGCTGCTGTCGGACTTCTGCTCAGCGGAGTCTTAGGTTTAGTGGGCCAATTGGTGAGGGTAGTCAGCGAGATTGTTCCACGTACTTATGTTTACTGATCCAATTCGTAGCTCCACGGCCTTGGCCTCGGCGCCCTCGTCAATGGTCTACTTGGCGGTCTGCTTGGCGGACTCGGCATCACGAAGGTGCTCGAGGCCCTTGGTCTCGGCAAGGTGTTGAGTCCTCTGACAGGAAGCAAAAAAAAATAGCTATTTGTGCATAGGCATAACCTGTAGCCTTTGGACATGGGTCACATCATACGAGAGTTTAGCGGAGTCAGTTTTTTAGTCAGCGGCATTAGTGCAGTAGTCCAGTAGTCCGTATATATGTACATCAATGATCTGTATCATGTATAGCGTCAAGTCCCACAATACACATGGTCGAAGCTACCAAGCTATTTACTAAGCTACTATGTAGAATCGACGGTAAAAAAGAACGAGACAGCTTCTTGCGCACGACCTTGGTTGTCGCCAACTCATGATTTGGGTCGGGTGGGTGTGTTCCAGCGCACGAGAGAGCTTGCATGCTGTCTGGCTGTCTAACGTGCGGTTGAGAAAAATAAAAGAGTAGGTTACATGTTGGGCACCCGCAGCTCGCATTTCCCGCAGTTCAACATTCCCGCGAGTTAACGCTTTTTTTTTCTGTCGTGATCCCGGGTAGGTGTTGCCTGTCAACGCTGAGGGGAGCAATACTGTAATGATGAATGCTAAAAGGGAGAATGTTGAAATGAGAAAATCAGCCGGACCGGGCAGTGTAGAAGAAAGTTTGCGTACTAGAATTTGAAAAAGTGAGTGGAGTTGAGTTCCGGGTATGACACTGAGTTGAACTGGCAACCGCCAGAAGCGCCTACGGGACCATCATGCGAGCCAGTCAAAAATATGAAGCTACGGATGTATTATAAGTGGAAAGGACACCCAACAAAGCAAAGGTGGATAAGGTGTCAATTTGAAATCAAAGCAGAATACGGGAATATGGTCATCGCTGTCCATCGGCTGAAAATCATCAAGCGTGCTCTCGCAGCTGCTACGCGAGTTTCGATCTTCCTCATGTGCGGCATGATGGATAAGTGGTTTCTGACATCTTTGCCCTTCCCGAATCGTGATTCTACCGCCAGGCACCAGATGTTCCATGATGGGATCAACCGCCAGGACGACAGTGCCGTATCTTTTCAAAGATATAATAGCACCCTCAGTGGTTGGAGACACGTCAAGCGGACGAAGATGGACTATTAAGTTGAAATGTTTATTGAGTTGAGTATATTGGTTAGTTACCGTCAAATCTTTGCATGTGTTTCCTATCAGACGTTTTCCAATAGCTTTGACCCCTGTGAGATCCTGCGACTACCAGGTTTGAAGTACAGCAGTTGGCCTCCACTTAGGGCTTTGTGTATACAGGCATTGCAAGGCTTTAGATTGCGGGTACATGATCACATCCGTTAATTCATCTTTTCACAACTATGTGCCGCAACATGCTTTTTCGTTCTTCGCTTTTAGAAAAGATGTTTGTGATTGCGCCCTCGACGAATTTATTTACATATCATACACAAATGTATTGACTCGAAAACAAACAGGTTATGCAAATATAGCAAAGCTGCACACCAAACAACGGTTCATTGTCAGATCTTCTCACTGCTTCTTTCCTTCCTCACTTTTGCTCCCGAGCCCCAGGGACCCCACAAGATTCTTCGTGGCACCCAACGTGGAGCCCACACCACCAGATACCGCACCAAGAGTGGCGCCGGTAACGTCTGCAACTCCGCCGACTAAGGTTCCTGCGACATCACCAACCGTGCCCACAAGTGCTGGCACGACTCCAACGCCCGCTTCGGCAGTTTGGCCTGCCGTCTGCGCTGTTTGGCCAGTGACCCTTTCCAAAAAGAACACCCAAGTTATTCACAGCTACATGACCTGCTGGACAAGACTTTGGCTATTTACCCGGCTGCTGAATCGACTGCTTTGCGGGTTCCGGCGGACTCGGGAGACGTATTGTTGCGGTTCATTTCTTTATGTATCGTGATTTGATATGCTTCTTCTTTTTCTGAGAGTTTCGACGCAAAACTTATGTTCGTTTTTGGGTAAACTGGTTCTGCGAGGAGGAGAAAGAGGCGAAAGATGAGTTTTTCCCAGCGTCATCTGCGAAGACATTTGCCGTCATTTGGGATTGTGACAACCTCACGCGGTGGGCAAGCCCTCTAAACGATGTCAACGTACATGCAGATAGTGATGCTAGTTGACGGAACATTAGTCAGCTGCAAGCCTCTCGCTTTGCAGCTGGAGTCACCAGTTTACTTAATGGAAAACGCTACAATGAGCTCATAACAAGCCAAGTTCAAGAAGCCCAAAGGAGGCGGAGTCCTCTGGTTATCCAACATTAAACAAGGCATATATGGACCACAAGGTATCGCCATATAGGACGTGACGCATTTCGGACAATGGGAAATACCATGATGGCCTGGTCTTGCACCTACCCAGTAGATGTTTGCAAATAATATTCTTTGTGGGACAACAGGCAGACGATTTTGTCTAGATACATCCATGATTTTGCATGATCGACCAAGGTTCGCTCCGTGTGCGCAGAGGAGTTCAGTCATGAGAAAGGCGGTAAATGTCGATAATCATTCAACCAATACTGTCATAACGAGTTTATGTACTGTCTTTTGGGACGATTTGATATCCCTTTTCATATATGCTGTACATTGCCACGATAGTTTACTTTCCAGTCTTAATGTACTATCCTTGGGTATTGTTCTGTAACGTGGACAGATTGCCCAATCATTCCCAGGAAGGACCACGAGGTGGAAAATACCTGGCAGTCTCAGGACATGCCTGGGATTCACACCTCCTCAGTGTGGATTTACATAAGCTTGTCTTTCATATCATCTCGCAAGAAGATCCTTGCTGATGGTTCTAACCCTAACCCATCCATCTACAGTGTTTCCATAAATCTGCCCCTTTGAAAAAGACGCAGGTGATCTTCCAGGTAGTGACGAAAGGTGGAGATGACCATGTTTGTGAGATTAACTACTAGTTCCCAACTCCTGGGCAGTCTGACAGGACAGTTCATGAGAAAACCAAAGCTAAGTGACGCACCAGATGACTCGAGCACCTGGGATCCCTGTGGTGGAAGGGGATACTATCTGACTGTTTAGCGCAGTTTTATGTAGTTTATGCATCGTGACCAGCAGGAGCAAACTGGGCTATGTTGCGATTTTCAAAAAGACTTGGACTGCGGGGTTGTGGAGATCTCTGAGACCTCCATACTTTTGATCCAGGGATGCTCCAGATGACCATAGTCGCAGCCCATTACATCGGCGTGGGTGAATTCCCAGATCATTCCAACTCCCATGCGTATGACCAGGGAACAGACTCGATAAGGGTTTGCTGGGACCCTTCAAGTCGACGGCAGGTCCGGACTTTTCTTGGCATCCATACCTACTTCAATGTGGGAGATGATGCAGCAGCGAGTCAGGAAATCTAATACCAAATAAGTGCCGTCCCATCTCCTACAGCAATGCTCTGGCAAATGCAACTGGACAAGATGGAGCTATACTGGAAATGTGGGGCTGCTCATGGCGATACTCTGTACTCTGACCCTTGAGCCTTTCTGAGCTCCCGGCAAACGTCTTGCAGATACAAATCTTGTAACTCGGCTTTAATGTCCGAAGCTCACTCTCGATTATACAGCATTTCAGCATCTGTTATGGAAAACGAATCCAAATTTTGGGCAGCTATTGCTGGACAAACGTGTTGGAGTATACCATTTCGGACGCGCTGCCAACAAGTGCTATTGTCATATCACGATGATAGTATGCATATCATATAAATGCGGGGATGGGAGTGATATCAAGCAAAGAATCTTTGGGGCAAAGCCATAACAAATTATACCATAACATTACCGCAAAAAGATTTGCTAAAAGAAAATAAAGTCCATCCCGGCATGATTGCAAAAGCAAGAAAAAACAACCAAAAGTGTCCTTTTCACTTCCTTTCCAATGCAACTGTCCCTTGCTTTCGATTCCTTTCCGCCAAAACACAAAAGGCATACCACAATTCACTTTCGACCCAATAGATCTTCTGGCACCCTACTTGCGTCACATCATCCTCATCCCATTCCAACGTTACCATTTTTGGATATCGTTCCCCATTGTCAATTGTATTTCCGATGTGGGCTTTGTGGGGTGTTGAATCGAGTGTGTAAGCTACATGACTCATGATTGGTGTGGGGAGGGGGTTGTAAAAGAAAACCGTTATTGGGGTGTCCCATGTCCTTTTGGCGGGGACGTGCTTGAGACGAGCGAGGTGAAAGGGGTGAGATTTGGACGTGGAGAGGAGAAGAATGGTGTCATCCGGGGAGAGGTCAGGTTGTGGAGGTTTGCTGCTGGCGGAAGTGGGTTGCTTATTCAAGTAGATGTCAGTTTAAGACGGAATTGTGAGTTGGAACGTACTGAACTTACCTGCTCGGCAATCTGCCTGACGTTTGGATCTGGCTGCACGTCAGTAGCAATGGACGATGCTTTACACTTACCTTGATCAACCTGAGAGCGACAGCATCATTAGGCATTTTAAAAACAAAAGTAACCCTCACTGATACAGTACCTCATTCTGTAATCTTAGAGAATATCGCGGTGCTACTTTGTTTGCCTAGATTCAACAGATTATTAATGTATTAAATAGATATGAAATATTAATTAACGTTATCAAAAAGTGCGATAAACATTAGCACTTACCCTTTTCCGCAACAATCTTTTTTCTGGCGTTGGCGTACGCTCTACCGGTCGATCTTCCAATAACCCCATTTCAGCCATTTTGGAACGCAGTAACTCAATCCGTGCTGCACGTGCAGTTTCGTAAGGTGTTGTCGGGACAAACATGTGTCGCACGGGCATTGTTTGGTGCTTACTTGTGTGGGCTGATGTGCAAGCAGAGAGGGCTTTAATAATTGGCTTGGTGCAACCCCTTGGAATGGGTTTTGACATACGCTGACGGCCGCGACGTAAACTACCAAAGGAAAATGACAGGTTTGAGGTTTGCAGAGGTTTGATCAAATGCTGAACGTTGTTATAAATGAGAGGTAATTTTGGTAAAGAAGGGCCTTGGAATAAAACCTCACTCGAAAAGCATGTGCTAAAAAGTCAAAACACCATAAACAAAACGACGCGGACAAAGCTTCCATGGTGTGTTCACCACAAGATTCGCGATTCGTAAGCGCCTGCGCCACACTACCGATCAAGCGGTCGCTCAAGCCCATCGTTTCTCGAGTGAGATGATTCCAAGTTGCTTTTCTTCACATGCTTTTGTAGGGCTGGGTTGATCAGGTTCCGGATCCAGCATGACGAAACCACAGTTCTTGCGGGGTTTCTTTTTGGCTTTGCTTAGAAACCCCCTCCGTAGCCGTGCAGAGATTTAAATATAAGAGTTTGACAGCTCCGTTTATTTATTTTGAGCAGTTGGTAGGACGTTTCGTCATGCGATAGAAAATTAGTGATGATTGGAAATGATGGAGGTTGATGGAGACCCTCTGCCTTCTAGGTAGGGTTGGGATTGAAACAGGATCTTTCTCACACCGTGCGGGTGAACTAACTGTGTGTTAATGAGCAGTTACTTACCCTCTCCCCTCAGCCCACAGCTGTTTTGTTTAGTGCACTTTATTCTAGGTGCTTGTCTGTCTTTTTGCTTTTGGAACGAGATTTGTTCTCTTTTGGAACCGCATGTACGAAAAAGAATTAGGATGGGATGCTTGGGCCAGGAGGAGCAGTGTCCCCAATGATACTATGAAAAGTACGCTACCCATTGCTTTGTGTCATCTCTATCCTGCAGTTAACGAAGGCTACCAATCAGGCGTCCTCGAAGGACAGCGCTCCCGGTCCTCGTCCTTTGACACTGGTCTCGCACTCATCAAATCACCCAGCACCACATCTTCATTCACATATCGTCTCCCCGAGTGGGGATGCCAGGTGACACCACAGTCCGAGAATATGGCAAAAGCAACTGCGTTTTCTGGGTTGGACATGCAGGAGAGCAAGTTGTTCACTGGGATTCAAACATTGGGTACACCCAGTTACTTTTAATCCGGCATTTTGTTCAAAGAAGCTTATATGAAAGAGAATAGTTTCAGAGTCCAATTTAGATCGCCTAGCGCTGAACCCACCTCCATTTGAATCTGCGAAAACCCCAGAATGGAGCGACGCTGCAAGCCGGTTCATGGAACAAGTGCCTTTGTTGACTCCTAGCGTGATACCTCTGCCAAAAAAGCACGAAAGGCCCACAAAGGCTAAACCCGATGCAGTGAGTGCAAACACCTAGTCCCCTTTGCATGAAACAAAAGTAACAATCTTGAAAGGCTAGATACTTTGTCATCAAATCTTCAAGCCCCTACAACGTCCAAGCCTCCCTCCGATACAACATCTGGTCGTCAACGGACCTCGGTAACCGCCGGCTCGACACGGCTTTTAGAACCTCAACCCGGAGTCCACCCCTGGTGTTCCTCTTTTTCTCAGTAGCCTCTTCGGGGCGCTTTTGCGGTGTGGCACGCATGACCAGCAGCGTAGATTGGAATGCGTCGACAGATGTGTGGGAGCATCCTCAGAAATGGAAGGGCGTATTTAAGCTCGAGTGGCTGCTTGTAAAGGATGTACCAAATCAGGTGTTCAGGCATTTGAGAGTCCCGTACGTATGATGTCTTGTTTTGGTAATATGGTAAGGTGCATTGGCCCATGTCTATCTTCTGTTATCGTACAGAGCGAATGAAAACAAACCGGTGCCAAACTCGCGTGATACACAAGAACTGATGTCCACCATTGGTCAGGAAGTGCTAAAGTTGTTCGCAATGTACCCGTCTGATCGGTCTGTTTTGGATGATGCTGTTGAACCGCCTAGTACGCAAAAGACACTTTCGTCTATGGCATTGTTACGTGGGGTGTAAAAAGATGGGGACATGTATTGCAGGATCCCTTTCTGTTTTGTTGGGGTGCTAATGTCCAAAGACATTGTGGGAGTCAACAGGGATAGTATTGGCTTCTTCGTGGTGAAAAAAGAATATTAAAGCAGTACATAGCTAGCAATTATGAAATGTAGCAGTTTTGTATGCCATGTAATACAACAATGCTGAATAATGCCATCATGCATAATCCCTGGAAACAAAACAACAGCCTCTTACACAATCACAAATTCTGTCTTTCCACTCTTGGTTACGACTTTGTACAGTCCTCCGTTTTCAGCAGCATCCTTGCCTGTAGCCCAGTCCACAATTTTTCTACAAAATTGCACAAATTGATGAGTGATCTAAGCTATAACACAACGGTAGCCACTTACTCGGCAACCGTCTCAAGCGGAGTCCAGGTCGAGTAATCAGCATCAGGCATAAACTTGCGGTTCATAGGTGTATCTAAGGTGATGCTGTACTCGGATATACATCAATAGAGTGTCTGACAGTAAACATCTAAACACCTACGGTAAAATACTACAGGAAAGTCAACAGATAGAACAAGATTGCCAAAATGCACAGACACAACACGGCACTTACGCAGTCGCTTTGGCACCGGTAGGCAATCCGCTTCCAGGGCCCGCAGCAGATTGAACCAGTTGGTGTACGGCGGCTTTGGCAAGACCGTATGCGACCTGGCAGAAACAAATCAGATTCACTACACTTTGGGATCTACTTGCGCTTTACACATACCATTCCTGGGGTTCCCTTCGTCGCTGCACTCGCCCCGATTAATGTCAACAGCCCACCCCTGAGAATCGAATTCAATACGCAGCAGGGATCATCATCTTATCTGGCACATACTCTTGAAGATGTAGAGCAGCTACTCTCGCCGCAATTACCGATGTATGAACACTCTGCGCCGTCATCAAAGTAACATTTTTGTACAGTCCTAGAATAAAATGAGTTTTCCATTATCGCTTATCTTTCATAGCAGATGCTCACCCTCATCCGTCAAGGCACCTCCTGCCCATCCGCCAGCTGCATTCACAACCGCTCCAAAATTTTGTTCCTTGACAACATCCCCCACCTTCAATTCCACATCGCGACCCGTCTTATCCAAATCGGATGCGGCCGACAGTTCGAGGACAATGTTGTGTGTTGCTTCGGTGTTGGGTGTAAAGTCAATGGAGGTGACTGTCTGTTGTAGATAGAGTGTTGGTGTTGTGTTGGTGGGCGGTCATGAGGGGAAGGCTTACCCATTGAGCTTTGCGGAATTGGCCTACGATGGATCGTCCGAGGGCGCCTGCTCCCCCGTAAATGAGTGCGTGTGATGCGGCCATGGTGAAAAGCTCGAGTCAAGAATTGAAGTGGACTCCAGAGTGGTGAGTAAACAAAACAAAATACTTTGGGCTGAATACCGCGTCGTGTCGTGTCGCGTCGTGTCCTGCTGTAGCGAAACCCTTTGCGAATATCGTCTACTTTGTGCAGGCAGTGCCAGAAAGCATAAGAGAAGAGCAAGGATAAAGTGCCAGTTGGTTTGAGATGGGTTTGGCGGCAGACGCAGATATATTGCTCTTCAATAGTAAAGAGTCTTTAATAGTAACGAGAACATGAATTGTGAGGCTAGGCATCATGCCGTTATTCCCTCAATGCGAAACCCAATGATAGATGCCCTTCAATAGCAAAACTGGGCCTGAAAAGAACAAAGCATTTCGCTTCAAATCCCAAATCCCGCACAGCGATATTCCTCCCGCCAAGGGTTGCTGAATAAATTCAAAAGGGCGCGGGGGCGGAAACGACGACGGTAGGCGCGTGACATTAACTGAAAGTTTTGGAGGGACATTGCTCAATAACATTTGTTGAATAAACCTAGCGAAATTGACTTAAAGCCTAGCTGCGACCACTGTTGCTCACGTCACTGCATCACCTCTACATCACTTTTGAAAAACGCAGTGCAAGAAATAGTTCCCTCGACCATGTCGGGAAACCCCGACAAGTATCACCTCCATCGTCTCATCTTCAAAAATGAGACAGAAGCACTCCGCACCTATCTCTCTTCATACCCATCAACCACTCCATGTCCCCTCTTTACAGAAACCTGCCGCGGACAAACTCCATTAACTCTCGCGATATCTCTCGGGCGAAAAGAATGCGTCAAGATCCTTCTTGATGCCGGTGCATCCACACTATTCAAGAACATGGACGGATGGACTCCGTTTCAAGAAGCTACCAGCTATGGCGATCGAGAGGTTATGGAATGGGTTTACAGAACTCGGCGGAGGGAGCTGGCGTTCTGGTTCAAATCCAAAGGCGGAGAGCTGTTGAGGGCACTGTCAAAGGTCAGGCCGTCAATACGAGATAGACAAGATCAAAATATATCGGGTTAAACTGATTTCTGGCATGCTTGTCGTTTGGTAGGATCTGAAGGACTTCTATCTCGAGATGCACTGGTCGTTTAAATCTATCATCCCTTTTGTGAGCTCCATTTGTCCCTCGGTATGTCCAATTTTTGATTTGCACTGTCCATTTCACATATAAGTAACATTCAACTCTGCAGGATACATACAAGGTAATGGTTTGATTTACTCATAATGCTTGATGTGCGACGTGGGTCTCAAATCGTTCACCGGCGATGCTTTCCGCAGGTTTTCAAAAAGGTAAGTAGTGTGAACCGTGCGCTTAGAAACAACGCACATATCCAACACTTGTCTATTTTGCATACAGGGAAAGTCGATTCGAATCGACACGACGCTTGTCGGCTTTGAAAGCTTGTCATGGGTCCGTGGTGATATTTCCATCATCTTCACCGAAGAGAAAGATGGTAATTCACAAGTTTGGTGCTTCTACATATTGGATTCAAATACTGACAGCACCAAAAGGACCACAATTGGTTATTTGTGACCATCAACGCCGCGTTGTTCAGCTAGTATGGCCAAGGGACTTTTCGATCGGCGCCAAGGAGGTGGAAGAAGAAATATCAATCAGTCTAAACACAAAGATGGTAAGGATGTGGTCTTAATTTGCACTAGGAGACTTGGTGATCCACATTGCATCGTTAGGTTGCGGCACCCGAATTTGACTTTTCATCTTTCAGTCTCTCTAGAACACAAAGTGGATTCTGGACGTTTAAGGTTACTTGTTGGCTAGTTGCATGTGACACCAGAGCATGAGCTAACTTTTCTCCAGGTGGACCGTAACGAGCGAGTTGGTCCATGGGAAACACATGTATGGTCCGTTGATGCCTTGGAATGTGTAAACAAAACGCGAACAGAGCATTTGAAAGCCAACCCATTACCACCGACCAAAGAGGATAACCCTCTTCCAGAGGGGGAGGAAGAAGAGGAGGAGGATGAAGACGAGAAGATCCGCAAGTACGAAGCGGGCGAGTGGAATGAACCAGAAGAATTGGCCAAAGCCAAGAAGGCTTTCCGGGAACTTGCCCGTTTCAGACCAACGTTAGACCCTCCCCCGACCCCGGAAGTCACATATGAACAGTTCTTTTCACAAGGACAAGAGAAAGAGTACCTACATGTAGGTCGACCTCAAATATTAGAAAAGACTTCCAGAAACTACAAAGCGACATTATGGATGTACGAGGGCGGAGAGGAGACACCAATGGCAGAGGGAGCCGAAAAGGAAATTATAGAAAAAGATACGGCCGCTGCAGCCGCGTATTCATCATTCCCAACGATTGTTCAAGCCACTCCAACACCACCACCGTCATTGCAATCTGATGAGTTTCCAATCAAAGTCGAAACCCTATTCCCATTGCTAGAGTTAATCGGAATGGGAACAAACGAGCACATTCGATCTCTAAAAGAGTTTTTTGGTGTGCAACTCCCGCCGGGATTTCCAGGTAAATCTGCTTTTTCTCCTGTACCTGTTAACATGGTTACTGATACCTACGTTTTCTCATTTCAGTCCAGATTGAGATACCCATCGGTCTGTTACCGTTGAGTGCCGTCATCACCTTTCAAAACATCAGCACGACATATCCAATAGATCAAAGTATGTTTGCGATACCCGGCAAGAAAGAAGGTTATAGGATGGGAGAGGTAGTCAAGGGCAGCGATAGACACTGATGCTTTGATCTAAGTTTTATTGGGTTATCGAATCGCAATTCTCTTCTTTTTTATTCTTAAGTTGTTAATCAAATTTAGTGTAGTAGTACTTTGTCCTACTTAGATGTTACGAATAAATGCTGTAGTGAAATGATGCTTTGTGTACTCGAATTCGTTTGATTGAGGAAGTGCTGATAATTGAATGGCTATGAAGCTATTGGTGGAATCCGGATGAAAGCTCAATGCCCAGCGGATGGCCAAGAGGAATTCGGACGAGTTGGTCCAAAATATGGTCAAGTGCAGAGTTATGCGACATGCAAATCTGCAAGTATGGCCTCCGTTATAAGAATAACCAACAAGGCAGTAAAGTAGATCCCGAGTGAAAAAAAAAAGAAAATATCTATGAGTCCTTCATGCAAAAAAAGTGTTCAGAAATAAAGCCAACATTGCATGATTAGTTCCCAAATTGCGCCAGGTCACTTGAAAGGATGTTATGTCACGCGTATTATGTCACGCACTCCGATTTTTGGGCAAGATCTCTTATCTGTTGCCCGCTAGCCAAACTCGTAGGTTTTGCTTTGCTTTGTTTTACAACCTTGGCTCTCTTCAATCTTCATCCTTTATTCAGTAAACGGAAGCCATGGAGGTGAGTTGTCGTAGTCGTCTGGGCTTTTGCGCCTTGTATACTGGTAGCGGGCTAACATGCTCGTGATAGCCACCATCGATCGCTTCCACCCTCCCTCCCGAAATATTACACCTCATCTTTTCCGCCGCCGCCGAACCCACCAACCACCGTCAACAGCAGCACACATATGCCGTATGCACTCTAGTCAACCGCCGATGGTATCGCCCAGCCCAGCGTGCACTATGGCGAAATCCATACCTACCATCCAAAGCCAAAGCACTAAAGTTCCTAGAGCGACATCTCAACCAATCGTGCAAAGAGTCTTCCCCACATTGTCTCGTCAGGTGTTTTGATCTGACTGCGCTGAGATTCAGTGAACCGGAGGATACCGACTTGTTAAAGCGGTTTGCGAATGGCACGCCATTGTTAGAGTCGCTCAAGATTTTTTGTGACCCGTTGGATCCACGGACGCTTCAACATGTTTTAACGGTTTGTCCTAAACTGGTTGATCTGACATTGACTGGAAGTGTTGGGGGTATGCAATCACGGTTCTTTTATGAATTGCCACCGGTGCGGAGTATGGAACTGCATACGCTTTCAAGTCGGTTGATGCGATTACGATCACTACATTGGGGCAGCGTTGACTGCACGAGAGGCGATGGGCAAAATTTTGCAAAGTTGTTGGCGACTAGTGTGGGTCCTAGTCTACGCGAGTTTTCTGTAGGAATGGTGACACCACCTACGGGACAGATTCCAGTAGAAGACGCCATTCTAGCTCTCATTGCACATAATTGTCCAGCGTTGGAAGTTGTTTCTGTTCAAGGAAAACCCGTTACGGATCGTTGTCTAGAGTCTTTGGCGAGGTATTGTCCGCGGTTAACGGCTATTGACCTTCAAAACTGCTCTGGGATCACACGGGACGGCGTCATCATGCTTGTTCGAGCGTGCCCTCAGTTATCGGATATTCGAATCAAGGGAACGCTGGCGAATGATAGTGTTGTGAGGAATGTCATTGCTATGGCTGCTATGCTACGCAGAACAGTTCGTCGTAGGGCTGGAAGGATATTTGCGCCGTGATATACCTGGCTGTTGGACTTTATCATTGGACTTGGATACGAAGGAGTTTCTCTATTTTTTTGTTTATTTTTGATGAATTCTTTTGGTAGCTTGTGGTTTCTTTATCTTTGGAAGGCGCTTGGTCTTGTATACCCGCCACCTGAAATACACACGCATATCACATTTTTGCATTTCCACGGAGAAGCCTTTTATTTTTTGTATATGCAAATAATCATGCTATGTTCTATCTCTATCCTCTTTGCGAATGCGTGCCTCCTTGGCGGCAATCAACATATCCGCTTCACTCATTTCGATAATAGCAAGTTCAGGTTTTTCCGCCTTTAGCTCATCAATCTTCACTCGAATGTCTTTGGTAAGTTTAATGTTCTACCACAAGAGAGGTATCGTTGGCAGTTTAGCATGGGCTCGAGAAATATAAACGTATCCACCACACCCTCCGTTCAAGGGTACAACGTACCTGCATGTAAAGCTTTCGCATGCTACTAGAGTTCATTAGGCCTTTGAAAAGGAGTTGAGCCCCTTGGTCCGTCCATAGATTATCGGAACAGTCAAATTCTTTGAGAGAATCTAGGTGGGTAAAACCGTATTGCGTTAGCATGGAATGCTCGTATCAACCCCAAAAACATGGATGCGTACAGTTTTGCTCGATAGCTTTTCCGATAGTTCCTATTGCCCCATCTCCGCATCGTGTACGCCTACAATTTAACCATTTGGTATTTAATCATGTGAAGAGAAGGTATCTAACCATATGAAGAGAAATAAAGGCTAGCAGTACACATACCGTAGATTGAGCACCTGTATGGCATTGTTTTTGAGGAGGAAACTTGCCACGGCCGCGCCATTCTCTCCTAACCCATTACTCTAAATACAAAAACAATAAAATCTTAAATGCGGGGTTATAGCCAAGAGCAAGACAATCATGGCAATACCTCCAGGTTCAGGTGTGTTAAAATGAGGTTATCCTATAAACATATACATGAGTTTCTTGTACGGTCGACACAGCGAGCAATACTATAGACTCACCTTTAGTCCATTTAACAGCCCTGCGATACCCCGATGACGAATTTGGTTCCAGCCTATGCGATCATTTAACAAATATCAGAAAAGTGCAATGGTTTCCGGCAAGTAGTCCAAAAATTGTTTATACCCAGATTCAGTTCCTTTAATGCATCATTCCCTACTAGACCCACTCCCAGAGCAATAGCGCCAATATCCCCAATTTCATTGTAACTCAAGTCAAGCACTACAAGACAGTCCAAGCCAAATTAGGAACCATAAAGAGCGTGAATAGCCAGCTCCACAGTCAATACCTTGCAAGCAAGAATTTTGTCGTAATCCTTCACTAAATAGCTGTGCTTCCCGATCACCAAGCTTGTTGTCTTTCCATTTGCCGGCGTTGAGTACTTCATGCATCTACACATCGCAGCAATGGAGCTTACCTTTGAGGATAAGGGTTTTAAGAGAAGCATTAAATTGGAGCATCTCTGCAATTTCGTGGCTTCCTTCATAGCCTAATTTCGTGCATGTAAGTGAAAAATACTAATACGTTAGTATGCAAAAACAGATACGCCACCCAGTCTGTTCCCTGTCAAGTTGAGATACACTAGCGCACGGTTGATTTGCAAACTCCTTCCAAGATAAGCTCCCCCACTTTCGATCCAATTGTTTGTCAAATCAATGCGCTTTAGTGTCGTATTTCCCTAGTATCAGGACCAAGTTCAGATATATGCCGAGTGGCCAAACAAAGAAACAACCGTAAAATGTGGTAAGATAATCAACATACCTCTAGAACTTGGGCGAGAGCATGTGCACCTTTAGGTCCCAACCCATGATGCGGCATCACGATTTCTTCTCCTTTTAGACGGTCAATAATGAACGAGACTGGAACGATGCCCAATGCAATACATGCGGCAGTATAGAGATCTTGCTGGTTCTTTCGATTCAGCACATCTATAATCCAGAATTCCGTCAACAATGTACCCAAATGCATGATATCCATCGATCTTTGAAAAACCAAACTCTCACCTGAAACATCCAGATCCGTCTCCCACCCACTATCAGCAAGCTCCTCCACTTCCTCATATACATCCATCAACTTGTCCGTCTCCCCAACCGCCACAGAAGTGACTTGAACCTCTTGAGGTACAATCTCATCCTCATCAACGCTTTCAGTAATAACATCCGTAAAAAGTCCGACACTTCCTTGTCGCTTTCTAGAAGCGCTGCCGATATCACTTGCTCGTCCCGTAACAGGTACGTCCTTTCTGCTGCCTGCCGATCCGGCACCAGAACCTCTTCGTCCTGGTGTGGTCACTCTCATACCCGACGCACTCATTTTTCTCGCTTCACCTTGAGTACCTGGGCGTTGGGGATTTGCGTCGGATCGGGTAGACTCTGCACTGGATGGGCGAGGAGCTGCTGATGATTTGCGTGAGGTAGGTGATACTTCTGGTTCAGCGATTGCTGGATCAGTTGGGCTGTCATCTTGTGGAGGTGGGTCGGATGGAAGAAGGGTTGTATCAGCTAATGTCTCGGAGGAAAGTGGCTCCTCGTTCGGATGTTCCGGTGGTGGATCTGTGGTCGCAGCTTCGAAACTTGTAGGATCTAATCAAAATTCGGTTATCGGTGAATTTCTTTCTTCGAATTTCAACAAAACACCGAAAAAGAGATTGCTAAAACAGTCCACTTTTACCATCATTTTGGAGCTTATCCTCTGTAATATCTGTCTCGGACATTGTAGATGGACTGGAGGAAGACAGCACCAACACAAGCAATCATCCAGCTCAAAAGTTCCGATCATTACGTGAGCCATCCACAGGTCATCCGATCTCACGTGTTCCAAATGGTTGAATCTCGAATAAGGAGTGCCAACGACAAAATGGACAGAGAGACCCAAATAACTAATCTTTTACAACCCCAGACTTATAATTCGAAAAAAAGGACAACGGCAGATAGTCCACCATTTTCCCGCGTGACGTCTCGGATTTTACATTCTTCTCTCAGCGTCTGCCCAATCCATGCGATTGTACCCCGGTTCCTGGCATCTTTACGAGAATACGTCCCTTCCGCACGTATGTTCATCTAGGCATCGCATTTGGTAGCTTCAATAAATAGGGCCATTGACTGGATTGCACGAGTTATATGCTTCGCATCTCGGTAACGATGCCGATGCAACAGAAAAGAAACAGGTTGTTAGCACAGAACTTGAACAGAACAAGAGGACAATCTCAAATTCCGAAACATTCAAGATACAGCATGCGCATCTCCACTTCGGCAGAAGGCGTCTGAAAGACAACTCCAGCTGCAGCTACAAACGTAAACCCTAATGGCCCAAACGCTCGTATGCTGCAGAACTCACGCCAATAGTCGTGTGCCGCTTTTGAGAAAGCCTATGATATTCTCAAGACTGTGCACCAAAGAGCTCAGGGGTAGGGCTATCAACCAGTTCAGAGAACACTCAAGCCTTCCCCACAAAAATGCTCAAGAGCAACACTACGCACGCATTTACTTGTATCTAAAAAATGAACACTCAAAGATACAGCATGCGCATCTCAAGGTGGACAGAAGCTGTCTGAAAGACAGCTCCAGCATGGAGGAATACAACGTGTGTTCTAATGAACCACACGCTGTATGCTACAGGCTCTGGCCAATGACAATCAGCCGTATGCCGAGGGTGAGAAAGCTTGTGATATTCTCAAGCCTGCTGCACCAAAGAGGTTAAGGTAGGGCTATCTACTGGTTTTAAGAACACTCAAGCCCTTTCCTAGTAATAATACGCTCAAGGGGAACAGTACGCATGCATTTACTTTTGGTTGGCGGTCCAATCTAAAAGTTTGGCGCGTACCTTTTGTGCCAATAGACCCATGGCTTTTCGGGCGTCTTTTCCCACATTGTGGGTTGCGACAGTCTGGCAGACTTGTATGTGTGAGGAGGCGCAACATTCGTGACATATTGTCGTACTGTTTGACTCGTGTGATTTGAAGATGGAAGCAACTCGGCTTTGCAATGCCCTGTGACTCCCCATCCAACAGAAAAGAAACAGGTTGTTAGCACAGAACTTATACAGTACAAAAAGACAATTTCAAATCCTAAACACTCAAAGATACAGCATGCGCATCTCAATCTGGGCAGAAGCGGTCTGAAAGACTGCTCTAGCCTGCAGGTTTGAATACGAAAACGTGGGCCCTAATGGCCCAAACGCTCGTACGCTACAGACTCTGGCCAATGACAATCAGGCCGTGTGCATAGATGGAGAAAACCTTCAAGGCCTCTGCACTGTGAAGCTCGAGCTAGGTCTATTCAACTGGTATGCAAAGCACACTCAGTCAAGCTCCCACATATGCTCAAGAGGAACAGTATGCATACTTGGTGATCCAATCTAGAATTTTGGCACGTACCGTTTGGACAGAAAGCTCGTGGGTTGGGACTATTTGACAGACTTTATGTCCGAGGTCTTGCTGCGGCGATTCCAATTACAATTATCGGTTGACGGTAAGGTCTTTCGGAAGTGAAAATGGCTTTTCAAGTCGGCTTTGCAATGCCCTGTGACTCCCCATCAATAGAAAAGGAACAGGTGATTAACACAGAACTTCTATAGTTTAAGACGCACTCATAAACATTCAAAGGTGAAGCAGGCGCATATTAACATTGGCAGAAGCGGTCTGAAAAGACGGCTCCAGCTGCAGGTACAAACGTATGCTCTAATAGCCCAAACGCTCGTATGCAACAGACTCTGGCAAATGACAATCCGGCCAGTGCCAACATCGAGAAAGCCGATGATATTCTCATGGGCTTCTGCCCATCAAGCTGGGGGGAGGGCTATCAGCCAGTTCGCATAACGCAATCAAGCCAATCAAGCCTCGCCCCATAATAATGCTCAACAGGACAGTACGCGTGCTTAGTGGTCCAATCTAGAAGTTCGGCATGTACCTTTTGGACAGAAAGCTCCGTGGCTATAGTCTCGTCACACTAGGCAACATCGTAGGTTGTGACAGTCTGGCAGACTTGTATGCGCGAGGAGGAGTGGTTTGAAAATGGAAGCAATCACTGTTCATCGCAAATCTGAACATCCCGCATCGAATCTGCCATATTACTCCCATCCAACAGAAAAGAAACAGGTGGTTAGCACAGAACTTATACAGTAAAGGACAGACTCATATTCAAAGGTAAAGCAGGCACATCTCCAGATCGGCAGAAGCGGTCTGAAAGACGGCTCCAGTATGCAGGTACGAAACTTGGGGCCTAATGCCCCAAACGCTCATATGCAACACACTCTGACAGATGAGAATCAGGCCGGTGCCATACTCGAGAAAGCCGATGATATTCTCATGGGCTTCTGCCCATCAAGCTGGGGGGAGGGCTATCAGCGAGTTCGCAGAACGCAATCAAGGCAATCAAGCCTCGCCCCATAATAATGTTCAAGAGGACAGTACGCGTGCTTGGCGGTGCAATCTAGAAGTTTTGGCACGTACCTTTTGTGTAGAAAGCCTCTTGGCTTTCATTCTCTTCGCAGAAGGCAGATTCATGTCCTCGGCCATCTTCTTCAATTCTTCCTGCACGCTTTCAACCAAAGGCCAGACTTGAGATTGATGGGTGAGAAGGGGGACGAGTTCACTGCATATATTGTCGCTGTTCCATTCACGCGGGTCACTTGATTTGAAGAATGCTGCAATGTAATCTCTGTTCATCGTGAGTAGAAGCACAGATACAAACCGCGTTCTCACGCGCTTTACAAGATGATATCCCATCACGTGAACCCATCTCAATAAACCCATTTACAGCAAAATGAAATACCACCTCCATCGACCATCTCACCCAGGACAAGCTTCAGCAGTGATTTCACACTTGCACAGAATATAAATATATAGTACAACCAAACAACCTACGACAATTCAAACCCAGCCCCAGCATCAATAGCATAAACCAATTTCCTAAAAACCACCAAAAAAAAAATCAAACATCCAAACACACGTATATATAAACATAAAAAGTACTTACGCTCGCATGACCTCCAAACTCTTGTACGCAGGAAGTTTAAGTAAGTTAACACAAGTAGAAGCCGTCGCTACAAAAACACACACAAATCAAATCAAAACACCATTCAAAAAACAAATTCACAACAACAAAAATAATACATACGCAACCGATCCTCCTCATCCCCCGCAAACCGAATACAAAACCCCGGTCGTAACTCTCCAAACCCCAAAAGCGGTTCCCTAGCACAACTCGTCACAAAACGTAACAACCCTCGACGATACTCTTCATCAAATTGTTCAAGCACGGTCCAAAAGAGGAGGATGGTCGGGTGGGTTGAGGTGTAGCCGCCTGCATAGGTCGTGTGTTCGCGGAGTGAGGTTAGGGAGATGGGAGTTGGTGTGCCTGATAAGAGGATTTGGAGTTCTTGCTATAACGTTCGAGTTGTGTGTTTGTGAGTAAAAGAGGCAAGCTCAAGGACAAAGAGAAAGGGATACAAAACCTGATTAAACATCCGAACCCATGACGGATCAATCAAATCCACCAGCCCCCCAAAAAAAGCTTTACACTGCCTCTCAATCCTCGTATTCAATTTCCAATGCGCCATTAAATAAATATATTTAATCCGATTGGTATTCGTAACAGGGATCGTTGAGCCGTTTGGAATTAATTCAATCGTCTTTTGGGCTCCGAATTCTTAACGGTGCGATGAGTATGGTAGGATAGCATCAAGGGGATGGGATGTGGACATACCGGTATCATCAACAGAAAAGGTTAACCCCAAGTCCCGAACATCTCCTTGATAATTCTTCAAAAATAACAATCCTTGGTATAAATCCGGATCCAAACTCGGTAAATCATCCACTAACAAAACACCAAAAAAAAAGCATTAATCCCCAATAAACAACGTACATCAAAGGAGAGGCAAAAAAAAATACATACAATAACTCGTTCGACCCAACCACTTTGCCAAAAAGAAATTAGCAAACCCTACATCGACGAGTATACCCTCATACAAGGCTTTTCCCAGAATCCGACCAAGGAATTCAAGGTGTTTTAATTGCGTTTCTATAAAACCTCTCGTCAGCATTTCGTACACACTCTCAAAAGACACAAGACGCACCTTGGGTAGCATACGAATGCGGAGAAGGATACAGCAACTGATCCGTCGTAGCTTGAAATAACCCATAATTAAGATCAAACGCTTGTCGACAAAGACTAATATCCATTAGTTCCCCAAAGTTGGACCGGAACACAAATGCAAAACACACATACGTTGTCAAAAACTCTTTGAAAACACCTCCACCATCAATCCCAGCTTCCACCAACCCTTGCTCACTGATAAACGTGATAGCAACACGGTTCTTGAGGCGTGAACCTATATAAAATGGTCAATAACACACCCCAAAACTCTCCATTCAGAGCACATGAGCAAAAACCATTTAGATACACACCCAAAGCATTCAAATGCGTATACCCATCTTTAAACACATACTGCCGTCGTATCGTAACACGCGCAGCAGGGTTCAACCACTGATCATCCAATCCATTCCCGAGACGATCCAATCGTACCCACTCCCTGAAAATTCCTACGCGAACTTCAAAAGGAATTACAAAAGGAATGGAATGGAGGATGTCTAGGCAGGGTTGACGGATGTTGGAGTCTTCTTTTAGGACGGCTTCGGAAAAGGATATGTCGGTGGGGATGAGCCAGTGGTCGGGAGGACAAAATCGGCGGCGGGAACTGTAACGCAAAACCAAAAAAAAAGCCAAACTTTAATGATGAGCCAAGAGGCATGAATGAGACAAGAGGACGTACTCTCGTGCAAAGAGTTGTTGAAGAAGCCGTGTCAACAAATCTCGGAGATGGGACAGTGTGACCAATGTACCAGGTACAACCAGCATCCCCGTCGTATCTTGCCAATATAAATGAAACGTAACATGCTACAACAAAAACATGCTCAGTACACACATATATATATCGTCAAACGCTACAACGCTTACCTTGATCACATTTGAAAATAGACATATCTCAACTCACGGCCCCTTTCCAAAAACTCGTCATCGCC